GAGCAAATCTAATTACAATTCTAAATTTAAAAAAAAAACTAACTAAATAAATAACTATGAATCCGTAACAATATGAATTAAGTAATAATTATAATAAAGCAAAGTGCATGCAACATGCATGCACCAATATATCGTACAAACTATGATTGGAAAACTGAGACATGAGTTCGGCCACATTCGGCTATCGTGAGAGCGTACAAGTTCTGAGTGCACGTGTTCCCCAAAAGCGGAGGTAGTGAACGCAAGTTACTCACACGCATTTGTATAAGTAGTGTGGTGTCAGCTCGCTGTGAGTAATCTAACAACACTGATAAATATCGTTAATTACTTAGCAGTAAACATTTCATTTTTTTCTTCGTCGATATGTTATTTTTATTATATATATTATATTTGCCGATATATTGGCCGGGCCGCAAAAATATTTGTTGTGGGCCTCGAGTTTGACATCCTTGATCTAAAAGGTATTAAAAAACAACTCAATATTTATTTGTTTACTTTATTAAACATGTCTTTCAATGTAAATTGTTTAAGTTGCTTTGTTTTTTTGTGCTAATACTTTCTCTTCAATTCTATAAACAGATATAATTTCTTGTTCAGTTACAAAGTTCCACTGTTCAAGCCCTGTAATTACTGGGTCGAGAATAAAGACTAACTTGGTAATCAAAATTTTTTCGTTTTCAATAACCTCTCTGTCACTTTCTTCACTATCGGAAGCGACGCATGCGCACAAGCGTATCGGAAGCGTGCATTAAACGCGCATGCGTAAAGCATAAAAAAAAAAAAAAAAAAAAAAAAAAAAAAAGTTTGTGGCTTTGATCTATAATCTAGACTCAAATAGGACATTATTCCAGTATGCTTCGGGTGTATTTATCATTAGAAGTCTAGATTATAGATCATTCAGGATAATGGACGTCATACTGTATTTAGTAATAAGGGGTCACACAATAGTCCTAAAATTTTTATTTTACCATTTCCTTCATTTTAAGGCTTTAATTATAAAAAGTCCCTATCTGTACCATCTTTAAAAAAGGTGACTGACAAAACTGTTGCAACTATCACAGAATTACTCTCTTGAATACTATATTTAAAATTTTCTCAAATGTTCTTTACAAGAAGTTATTACCACATGTTGAAAACGTCATTGGATGGTATCAGTGTGGATTTTGCACGGGAAGGTCAACTACTGATCAAATTCATGTCCTGAGGCAGATTTTGGAGAAAACAAGACAGTACAATAGATTAGCATTAATAGGCAGAAACTACACGAGGCAATGGTGGAATTTGAAATACCAACTAAGTTAACTAATCTAACAAAAGCTACATTTAACCCCTTCGAGCCGGGTAGCGAAAATGCGCGCTTATCGCGGAGGCCGCCAGTGTCTTCCACGAGCGTCTCTCCAGGGCCGGGGGCTTTTTTCCGAAGTATCAACGCATTGTTTAATAATGTCTATATATGTATTTTAAACGGCTTATGCTTTATAATATTTTTATACTAACTTAATTACGTTTCTTGTTTAAATGCATATTTACACACTTTTATTTAATTACTCACCATTTTATGACTTTAACATTATACATCTGAAAACTAAATATATTACTTAAAATTCTTTTCGTATGAAAAATTTTAAAACAGGGATCTACACACAGTCCTACGTTACATTCCTTGACTCGTAATAACATTGCCGTTTGGAGGATTTTTCCGGAATGTGAACAAGAAGCATCTTGTCTCATTTCTTATCAGCTCTTCTGAACAAGTTGGAAAATGTCTTCAGTAATTTTCAGAATCAATATCAGAATCTCAGAATTTCAGAATCAATATGAAATATTTGCTCTTTCTGCTTTCATGCTCGTTAAACATTTCGACGCTTCGACATTGAAACGGTAAAAACAGAAAGAATTCACGTAACAGATCTAATATTTTTCTAAAAATAAAATGTAAAACCGAAATACTCAACGCTTTAGCGCATATAAACTTCTACTTACATAAATAAACAACTACCACGTGCGAATAAAGTGCGATTTAAGAGAGTCATAAATCACCCATTCGGAAACATAAGTTCCCCGTTTTGTTATAATAAAAACACTGTATGTGAGTCATGCTTCTCTCATTTCGAGTAGAAGTTAATTAAATATCTGAAACATAGCATACAGTGCCATCTTGTGGAGAATTATAGTTTGAAAAACGTTCCAAGTACTGGCACAAATACGTGACAGTCGGTAGAAAACGCAACAATGCTCTGGCACGCCTGCGTGTCGGCCGGTAGATAAGTGTGTTTGTTGCTGGCACGTATACGTGACAGTTGCCGCAAAGGGTTTAAAAGGGTAAAATATAGAATTAAACATGGTTATGATTTATCTGAAGTTTTTTATACTGACAGAGGTATATGGCAGGGTGATTCTTTGTCCTGTTTACTTTTAACCTGGCCCTTAAGAAGGCTATCAGAGCTTCTGGTCTTACGAATAGAGGCATCTTTTACCATAAGACAATAGACATTTTGGCATTTGCTGACGACTTTGCTTTAGTTGGTAGATTCAGAAAGTATGGTGCAGAATCATTTAAACTATTCTGCAAACTGCTAAGGCAGAAAAATTAGGCCTAACCATAAATGAAGACAAAACAAAATTCTTAGAAATTGCCCGTAAATCAACTAATCCGTCACTACTGACTGTGAACAACTACACTTCTGAAAATGTGGCATAATTCAAATACCTTGGAACTATTGTCCCTAATAATAATGATTTATCTATGGAAATTAATAACAGGCTCTGCATTGCAAATAGATGCTACCATGGTCTTAAAAATCAGTTCAAATCTCGATTTATCTGCCATAATACTAAAATTAATATACAGTGGCTCCCAAAAGTGTCCGTACACTTATGATTTTCATTGAAATACGGCTCTATCCATTAATTAAAAGTAAACTTTCTGAATCAGATTTTAATACTAAGATCTATAATCTGTTTGTAACAAAATTACATGAAATATTCTTAAAATACAGCAAAACTTTATTTTTAAGAAATTAATAATCAAAAAATGAGAAGCATTTTTTTTATCTCACAAAAGTCTTCGTACACTGAAATATTTTTGGATATCGTTTGCTGCTTTTTTTAATTTTTGCATTGTCATTTAAAAAATCGTTTGATTTATTTTTTTATTGTTTACTTCATAATATTTTATTTATTATTGAAAAATGGGTCACAATTGTAAAGAAATTACAAACAGCATTCGAAAATTGATAATTTTTCACCACAGTAGTGGTTAAATCAATTTCAAAATATCGCTAAATTAGTTTAATTTATCCCATTCTACAGTGCAGTATATTGATAAAACGCTTTCAAAACAGAAGGAAATTCGGATTGAAAACAAGGTAAGAAAAGGTCGACCGAGAAAAGTAACTAAACGTGATGAGAGATTTATTATTAGAAAATTTGTGAAAAACATACATTTGAGTGCTGTAAAAGTTTCTGCAAAATTTAATGCAAAGTTTTCTACTTTAATTTCACCTTAAACTGTTCGACGAGTTCTCAGAGAAGCTGGATTACATGGGCGTTCTGCCCATAAAATTTTTTTTGTTAGTGTGAAAAACAGAAAGCATACGCTTTCATTCGCAAAATCAATGATAAATACACCCGAAGCATACTGGAATAATGTCCTATTTGCTGACGAAAGCAAATTTAACATTTTTGGTTGCGATGGTCGAATAACTGTAAGGAGAAGAAAAATGAGGAACTTCATTCTAAGAACTTAGTTGGAAAAGTTAAGCATGGCCGTGTAGGGGTTTTTTGTGCGGGGGTGCATGGCAGCATTAGGACTAGGTAATTTGGTATTTATTGATGGCATAACGAATTATTCTCTTTATTTAAATATTTTAAGAGACAATTTAAATTATCAGCTCAAAATTTGTCCACAGGTTTTTAAAAGATTAAATGTTTGTCCTTTTATGATTATTAATTTCTTAAAAATAAAGTTTCGCTATATTTAAAAAATTTTTCGTATAATTTTGTTATGAATAGATTATAGATCTTATTATTAGAATCTCATTCAGAAAGTTTACTTTTAATCAATGAATAGAACTCTATTTCAATGAAAATCATCAGTGTACCAACACTTTTGGGAGCCACTGTATATTAAACTCTGTTACATCCCATCATTCTATATAGGTGCGTGTGCTGGGCAATGACTAAAATAACTGATCTTTGAATGTAAAATACTAAGAAAAATATTTGGCACTGTTTGCGAAAATGGTGTTTGGAGATCAATCATGAAATCTATCAAAAATTTAGACAGCCTGATATTGTCAAGGTCATAAAAAGCCACGGAATTTAATGGTTGGGTAATTTATTCAGAACTGAAGACACAAAACCAGCAAAACAACTCACATTTACCAAATCTATGGGAGCTAGAAAGCGAGGAAGGCCACCAATTAGGTGGATTTAATTCTATTAACTTTCTCCTCACTAACAAACTCACCAATTCGCAATGAAGTTAGCTGAAGTCTGTAATCATTGCCAAGCATAATGTGAACATAAAAGGTTACCATACTGTTTGGTATGGTATATATTAATAACATTCAGTTATTAATATTTAAAAATAATTAAACATCACTGTGTATGTCATTTCTCAAGCGGCAGTGTTTATTCTCATGTGGTGATGAAAGCAAAAAACAATAATGATTGTTAGTTTAACATCAGCGCCCAAGTGAAATTAAGAATCGCAACGCACCATCTTTTATTATGAAAAAATGTCAAACACGTAAGAGTAAAACATATATAAGAAAAAAAAGGGGGGTTGCTGGTGATCTGGAAGACTGGATTTTAGACCATTCCAGACATTGGTAATCTGGTAAGACTTTGTACGGTAATCTGGTATTATTTATATTCATTACCTCATAATTTAAGAGGAATATCTTTATAAAGAAATATTAATCAATAACAATTTTTTTAATGAAAGCAAATAAAATATTAATGAACATCCCTATTAATATAGAAAACTAACTCACATCAGAAGTATCTTCCTCTTCTTGGTTATCAATCTCTTGGTTGCATATATTAGATAAATCATGTAACAAAAGTTTATATATCTTTACAAACAGAGGTATATTTGTCCATTGATCAGGATCTAAAATTGAAAAACTTCACATAAATAACAAAATAACATAAAGCAAATATTGAATAAATTAAATATTAATGAAAAGGAGCTCTGTGAACATGGTATGTACACATTTCTGCACAGAGAAGTTAAGTACTTTTAAGTACCATTAAGGACCTATGAGCAAATGGGAATTAAGGACCTATGAGCAAATGGGAATTAAGGACCTATGAGCAATGGGAAAATTCAATTATAAATATTATCTATGTCTTCAGACATAAAGAATATTTTTAATATTGTGAAGTTCACTTTTGAAATACCATCCTATAAAGATCTGTCAGTAGGATGCATTATTATTAAATATAACTTAAATTAACCTAATTATTAAGTTTGAGAATACAGTAAACTTTATGAAATTTATCAAGTAGCATTAAATATTTTAGACTTATAATAGTTGAACATATTTGAAAGATGATAAGTGGCATTTTGTTTATGTTTTACTAACAGTTAGCTTTATGCTGATTTTTTTTTGGGGGGGGGTCTCATTTTGTTACATACTTGCTCAGTCTAGAGGTTAAGTAAATAGCAGATAGAATCATGCAACATAGGTTAAAATGAGAAGTAAGATCATAATCAGTATCATTCATAACAAAAGATTTGATGCTGTCACCGCTGCTTGCCTAGAGAGAGGGACTTGATGATTAGAACAAACCTGAAAGGCCTGATGTAGGCATTGTTGGCAAGATTTGAAAGTTTGGTGGGCTCTGTTTGACACAGTTAGTGTGGTAGCTTCGTGTAGAGTTCCAGGGGTTGAAACCCAGTAAATATACTTTAAGGTTTCAACAAGTCACTAAAGCACCAGAAGTGATAAGTTGTTTTGTATTATTTTAAGTCTCGCTAGATGCAAAGAATAAGTTTTACATGAATTTTTACATTTTTGTGTTTTATCTTGTAACCACAATAAGGATTAATGAAAGGCAATAACTCACTTTAACCTTCTAAAACCGGGCCTAAATTCTCATAATATAGGGGCTTCAGACTGGTGCAATCCAAAACACTTTTGCCCCCTCTTTGACATTTTCCTAATGAGAATAGCCGTTAGTCCCCTCCACGGATGCAGTAAAATTTACATGTTTGTCGGATGCTGTTCCATAGTAGATGGGCTGCTAGATATGCGATTTTTTCGATGATTATTTTCCTTTCATTTAAATGAAGTTTTAAATAAATAGTGAACTGGATATGCATCCAGTGCACTATTTAGAACAAAATGCATGCAATGTTTATACAGTCAAAAGTCGTTAATTCGGACACCCATAATCCGGACCTCAAAGCTACGAACTTTCTGCACAGGCGTTTACGAGAGCCCGTAAGACCCTTACGGCTGCGAATATGTTTGTCCGCATGCGTGTTTAATGTGTAACGGAGTTATATCGCTATTCTAAAGTTTCTAATTCAGTTAATGTTGCAGATTGCGTTGTTCCTTAATCTTTGAATTGATCGGCTTTTATTTTTGCAGACTGTTACAGCATTTTATAAAAGTAAGTTTGAACTTTGATTATGTCATATAATTCCGATATTATTTACACAAAGCGAAAGTATGTTTGAAATCCAAATCGTTTATCAATTTCACGCTGCTCTGAGGCAGAGGGGGAGGGGGAGAAACGTCATTATTAAATTATGATAGATTAGAAAAGATTAGTCAAATAGAATTTCCGATATTATTTACTAAAATTGTATTTGTAGCTACAAAGCGAAAGTAGTTTTGAAATCCGAAATCTGTTATCAATTTCACGCTGCGGATTGGAAGTTGATCTGTCAGCACTATGCTTTCTTCAGGGCAGATTTTTTATTTTATTTGGCTTATTAATTCTTCTTTACTAAATGTAGTATTTCATCTCGATGTACTCCGTTTGATAATGATTTAAATCAAATTCCTCGTCATTATAATTCACTCCGATAGCGAAGAAGTGACGAGGTTATTGAAAACGAAAAATTTCGATGACAATTGCGGTATTCTCGACACGCAATTATGGGACTTGAACAGCGAATTTGTAAACTGAACAGCAAGAAATTATGTTTGTTTAATAGAATTAGAGAAAGAATTATCACATAAAGCAACTTACATGAGGAAATGTTTAACAAAGTAAACAAATAAATATTATGCTTTTCTTTTTGTAAATTTTGATACCTTAGATCATAATTGTTCTTTATTTCATAAATTCGGTTTTTATTTTAATTTTGTAATTTCTGCATGCCATCTACAGATTTAACTGATGATCTATAATCCGGAATCGCCGAAGTCCCGACGAGTCCGGATTAACGACTTTTGACTGTATTTCATTTACTATTTCTGATCAATCTCGGCAATAATTTGTGAATTTTATAATTTTGTTTTCACTCTTCATTTATATTCGTATATTTTCGTATTAGAAATTAGAAAACAAAAACAAAATTTTACAAAATATCATAAATACGAACTAGCTTTGTAAGTCAGCAGGTTTGAATGCAATTTTTAATACCATATTTTCATTAACAAAATAATGGTAATGAGTAATTTAATGAAATAATAATAATAAATTCAGTAAAAATATTTAATACTATTAGATGATTAAAATGAGATTCAATACAATTAAATTTTGAGATGAACTTAGAGCAATAATAAAACTTTACATAGCATTAAGAGAGCTTTAAATCTGCTTTTTTCGATAATTTTGCTATTGTAATATAAAAAAGAAAATCAGAGATACATTGATTCCGTTTCATCACTTAACTTTAACAAATATTACATTGGTCTCAGGCAAAGGAGGTATATCTTTAACGATAATTTTTTGTAAAATTGGCTTTTTTTAAATGTTAGCAGAGAAAAAAAAATCAGTGACCTATACATGCAATCATCAAAAGTATTTTTTAGAACAGTTTTAAATGTTTATGAAGAATTATACAACAATTTCCTTTCACAGGCAGAAATTTCGTCTAAAACCTTCATTATATCCAAAGGTTGAAGTCTATTTAATTTTCAACGAATATTCTATTTGTACATAATATATTTTCTAATTTATTTTAGAAAGAGTAATCTTTTACATTTTCAAAAGAATAAGGGCATACTGGGTGTTGACGTTTACAATGTAGTAAATCTGTTTTTCATATTTCTTCCAGTAATGAAAACGATTACCCTAAAATATTTTCAAAGCAAAATTAAGAAAACTGTTTACGCTCAAATTTTGCATAAAGTATCTTCTTGTGTATTTTTTATTTAAAGTGTGAAGTTTTTTCTTTGAAAAATAAAAATCATGAACGGAGCAAACTTAATTCAAGAGAAATAATATTGAAATGCAATAATTGCATCGTAATACGAAATAGTGGGGAATAGTGCAATACAGCGTATTTATTCACAAAAAATCCCCTCATATGCCTAATTTATGTACTGCAGATTGAGAAATATAGGTTAGTAAATTAAACCGGTTATTTCAATACTTTTTTTCTTTATAATTTTCTTTACGGGCCCTACGGGCCCTTCAGTAGAGCGGTAAAGGTGGCTGAACACTTGTAGCTTGCTCGGGTTTGAATCCTGGCTAAGGGGTTGGATTAATGGTTTTTGTGTAACATAAATATAAACCAGCTTCCCTTAGAAAGTCGTCCGCGAAGGCATCACTCCCTTTATACAGGTAATTGTTGTGTGCTTTGATATAATTCAGTAAGCAAACAAAATTAATCCAATCAAACCCGGAGAACGGTTGATTACATGTAGAGTTTTTCATCAGGAACATAAATGCGAGCAATTTTCTCTTAAAAAGGTTTATACGAAAGCATCCATCCCCTTAAGCAGATAGCGTTCGCATACTTTTCCGTAATCCAATCCTAATTCTCATACATTTAATAGTAAGTTGACATACACCTTAATACAGACAAAAAAACATTCCTTTTTTAAAGATAAAATTTTTATTATTTTGTCTGAATTCCCTTTATCTCTTGAGGAGTATAAGATTTTATGCAAAGTAACTGATGTTTTGATTCAATTTAGTAGAAGTTACAGGAGCTTTAATGATATTTAAATACTTTTTGGTAGATGCCATCCTAAGAGAGGGTCTAAAGATAAATTGGTTTTATTTAATTAACAATGAATGAAAATCATTCAAAGCAATCATTGATTGAAATCATTGAAATCAATCATTGAATGAAAGAAAATCACAAAAACAATTATGCATGCAGTTGTCTCTTATTTATCTCCTGATAAATCAGAAAAAAATGCCTACATAATAGAAGTTTGAAAGAGAAACAGTTTCTTGAGCTTTACGCACTCCAAAAAAGTCAAATAACATCTTATTATTCATAAGTATAAAAAGGAAGTAAACTAAAAAGCGTTTTACCTATTTCTAGAAGGGCATAAATCTAAATATTAATCACTCTTATGCTATGATTAAAAGGAATAAATCGGTAGCTTAACAGCTGCGAAATCGCTGACTTTTAATCAATCAAGTAGCACTAAAATTATGATACAGTGCTCTAACGTTGATAAGAGATGCTTCTATTTGATTTTTAAGTATATTGCCGAGAGACGAAACCTGCTGTTTTGGCCAAAATGTAGCCAAACTGATAAGAAGAGGGAAACAATGCATAGCCAGCGGCTATTCTGAGCAGCGACAATAGACCACCCAAAGATCTACAGATAGGTGATTCTCTAAAATAGGGAGGGGGGTGGTGGCTGGTATGACAGATGTACCAGAGGTGGGCGTTAACCTCTGGTACATCTGTCATTTTCCTGGTACAACTACTTTACCGCCGGCTTTAGAAAGTTAATATGCAGAGATAATTTTTAAGCAGTCAGTTATAAGTAATTAAATTAGGTAGTCATTATGGATTTACATGGGCACTATTAAATTTCATTCATTTTTTAACAATATTTGTTAATCAACAGCAACAAAATCTAGAAACGGCAAAACTTTTAGAATTTAGAGCAGGCACTGGAAGCAGAATTTAGAAAGGCACTAGACAGCAAAATTTAGGATCCACAGAAATTGCATCAGGTGGGA